TGAAACCTTACTACGTATATGGAATAACCGTTTTATAAAAGCAATAAGCCCCGTGAAGCAGTGGTTTACAGTGAATTTATAACAGCTAAGGGGGTTTTAGACACTCCGTTTCGCGTCGTGACTAACAACGCCCCTTAGCTGTTATAAATGCACTGTAAACCACGGCTTCTTGGGGCTTATTGCTTTAATAAACGGTTGTAAAAAAAAAAATCTATTTACCACGTGTTTTTGCAAGTCTGCATTAAACTAAAATGAACTGAAAACACGTCTTGTGGAATTAAATAACTACTTTTGATGTCTTTGTTTATCATATTTATTTTCATATAAAAGCAAGACAACGTAAAAAGCATCCAGTTTATTAGCAATAGGAACGTGAATCATGCGATCATGCAATTCACATCTATGCCCGTTAGAGGAGGCAACTGGATTGAATGAGGTTCTGCAAGTTCAGGGAAATAGTGGTAAAAGTCCATTCAAAGCAGATGATCGTAAAAGAGAGCGCGCAAACAGCTCCGACGTTTTGTTGAACGGTCAGCACAGATGTGATGATGGATGCAGTAGAGCCAGACAGAAGGGTTTCTCCTCTGAAGAACTTTGTGGCTGGAGGGGTCGGTGGGGTCTGTCTCTTATTCACTGGACACCCGCTGGACACTATCAAGGTAAAACTTCACCCAAGAGGAGAAAGCTGCATGATAAGAGTCATGAAAACAAGGATGCATTGACAAGGGTGTAATTTATAACATAGTAATTATTTTTTATCTGCTTTAGCATGATTAAATAGGAGTGTATTGAGGTGATACTTTCAATGTTTTACATTCATCTAGACGAACTTTTTGTCACTATAATAAGTAAATAGAAAAATACTTACAGTACAACTACAAGATCTGAATACATCATAATTATTGTGTAACATTTATTCTGTTCTGGTTCATGTGACAGAATTCCCTCAGCTGTCAAATATTTACATCACAGACTTAAAAATGTGTATTGTTTCACAAAGCTTTTACTTTTGCATTTTTGGCATGATTAATGTTTCGAAGACAAATTAAGTTATATGTTCACGCAGAAGTTTCAGCAATAAGACCTTTCGAGACTATAGTGATATGTTATCTAAAGACACAGAGGGAGCAAATGGCACAGATAACGGCTGTTTCTTCTGACATAGTGCTTTATCAGTATTTGTTAGACCATGCTTTATCTCACATTGTTGTTAAGACACCCCCAAGATCAATGTGTCATTGCTGTGAGTTATACCATGTGAATCTTCATGTTTCCACAGGTCCGTCTGCAAACACAGGAATGTGTTGTCTACAGAGGAACATATGACTGCTTACGAAAGACTGTGTCCAAAGAGGTAATAGCTTTCTGTAAGCAAATGCTGTTGTTATAGCACACATAAAGTGTCCCCACTACATGACAGATACCGTTTATTACTGAAATAGGTGTCATGGAAATCACTTCTGTTACTGTGACACCCCTAGACACTGTAAAGAGTCAGGGGAGCAGCACATGCATTTTACCCAAAACAAGCACACACAAAACCTGGCATCTTCAGGGTTTACTGACATTAGGTTGATGGACTGGTCTTAAAGGGGTCATATGATGCTTTTTTAAAGATCATTATTTTCTGTATTTGGTGTAACAGAATATGTTGACATGCTTTAATGTTCAAAAAACACATTCTTTTTCAAATACTGTACATTATTGTAGGTCCTCTATGCCCCGCCTCTCTCAAACGCTTCGTTTTCTACAAAGTGAAAGGAAAACTTGAAATCGCATCATATGACCCCTTTAAGAGGGCAGTGTTGGGAAGAGAGGACATGTGTCTATTTTATTAAGATAAACCCAGTGAAAGTTCGCAAAACAGCACCTTTAAGACCTTTTTGTTGACATTTAATACCAAGTTTGAGCAGTTTTGGTGATTTTGCTCAGTGACTCTCAGCTGGTTTTGCTACAGGATTTTGGTCAGGTTTCAGATTTCACATTGGACATCAGCCAACCAGACACAGTAGCAAATTTGTTTATAATTCAAATTTAACAAAAAAGGTCTTCAGCTTAAATTATCAGTACATTTATTCCAGTCATAACAACTCTTGGGATAAACCTATTTGGATATGATGAGTGATAGATGAATTTGCCCAAAAATACTTTAAATCAACAACAAAATAAATGAGAAGTGATTTTAAAAAGCATGTTTATTTTGCCTTCTTTCTGTCCGCATAGTTATCACAACAGGCATGTAACTCTGTGGTTGAGAAGCACTGATTTGATTACTATACTCTCTCTCTTTCTCTGCCCCACTTCCAATCACCTTTACCCTGTTTTATTGTCTGCAGGGAATATTTGGCCTGTATAAAGGTATGGGTGTCCCACTAGCCGGTGTTACCCCAATGATGGCTTTGAATTTCTTTGGCTTTGGGCTGGGAAAGGAACTTCTGCAAAGTGACCGCACAGTACCAATCACGTTAGTACGTTAGTAGGGGATGTTTGTGATGTCAACTCTGCTGAATATATGTCACATTTAACAATTTTAATTTCTAAGGTGTGTCTCGAGATAAAAGTGTGTAGTCTTAATAAAAACTAGTGGGTATTTTTATCTTTATGTGCTGCTGCATTTGGCTTGTTCACAGTTTTATATACTGTATATATGAATAAATGCTGTAGAGACAACATAGTTTGATGCTTCTCTTTTCTGCTTCTCCTTTTTATGACTTTATTTGACCCTCTGTCAGGAACACACAGATCTACTTGGCGGGGATGCTGGCAGGAGTATTCACCACTGTGATCGTGGCCCCGGGCGAGAGAATCAAGTGTTTACTTCAGGCAGGGCAAACACACTACTGTCATAAATACACCTGTGTCCATAGACACCATTAGCATGGTAATAAAACACTCAGGAATAAAAAAATATACTTAAAAAAACAAACAAACAAAAGAACACATTTTTAAACAATTATCACATTACCATAGCCAAATTGGATTTTCATTCACTGTAAACCTTTTTTACAGCCAAAAAGCAGAGAACTATAACAGAATGCTGTCAATTTAGTTAATTTGTCACTCTAAGAAGTCAAAACGAAACAACATCATAATTTAGAAGTAACAGGCTATTTTCTGTCCTGTTTTTAACCCCCTCATCTGAAGCTCTGTATGAATAGGCGCAGTGGATTGTAGACTCGGAAGTAAAAGCACACTGCTATGATTGGCTAATAGCTGTGTATGTTTGACAGCTTACATCCTTCACCGATGGACGCTGCTGTGATTTAGGTTAAAAACGCATACATACTCAATACATATCAAACGATATGTATAACAGACAAAGCAATAGTGACCACATAATAAAAATAGTTACTCACACTTGTGTTGCGACATTACTGTCAGATCCAATATAGTCGGCACAGCATTGTCTTTTAGTTTCAATCTTTCTGAAAGTCCCGTGTCGAATTGTGCCTTGTTTGTAAACAAATCCGTGGTAAAATGAAGTGAACAAAGGACCAATTTCTTACTGACGTGGTCTGGATCTTTAAAAATCTGGATCATTAAAAATAAAGTCCACTCTTTCCTAATGTTAGGATCAGAAGGAAGGCAATGCAAAACTGTGTTTTTCCACACCTTGGCACTGCCAACTGCCAAGACTGTGTTCGGAGCATGTTTATCGTTTGGTTTCTGCATAGACCTGGGTTTGCCTCTCTGGTTATTTACACTACATGCTTGAATCGGTGGGCGGGGCTAAACAGGCAGCAATGTAGAATCGGTGGGAGGGGCTAAACAGGCAGTGATGTAGCTAAACAGGCAGTTATGTAGAATCGGTGGGTGTGGCTAAACAGGCAGGTATGTAGAATCGGTGGGCGGGGCTAAACAGGCAGTGATGTAGAATCATTGGGCGGGGCTAAACAGACAGTGATGTCGAAGCACGTTGATCTTCTGCAGTGGCGGCGTTTATTCACACTATTACATCATAGAGTAGAACATTCAACAAGCTGTCGTTTTGGCAGACTGCCTTCAATATAAGCTGTTTTTAGACTAACAAGAAAGTTTTGAGTTCCTAAACTTACAGGATGTTTTTATAGTACAATGACAATTTTATAGTGCAATGTGAAAAGATGTTGGTTTCTCAGTTCATGACCCCTTTAATGTGTTAGTCGACACAAAAATAAGTGTACTCTTAAGCACAACAAGAGATTATAGAAACGTCATTTAAAATGTATAAAGTAAGTTAAAAATGACAGTGCACTTTTTAAAAGTGTATTAAAATTGTCATGAAAGTGTATTGTCTTTATATACACGTAAATAACTTTACGTTAATATTACATTATCTGCAAGTACAGTTTAAATAAACAATACTTTTAAATCGGTGGGTGGTGCTAAACAGGCAGTGATGTAGAATCGGTGGGTGGGGCTAAACAGGCAGCGATGTAGAAGCAGGTGTTGATCTTCTTCTGTGGAGGCGATGCTTATCCACACTATTACATCATAGAGTGGAACATTCCACCAGCTGTTGTTTTGGCAGACTAGATTCAATAAAAGCTGTTTTTAGACTAACAAGAAAGTAACGAGTTCTGAAACTTACAGGATGTTTTTATAGCACAATGACCTCTTACTTGTCAAAAGATCAAGGGAATTATGATTTCTCAGGTTATGACCCCTTTAATCATGTAAAATCCTGTAATGTTATGATTTGTGTTTATTGACATATGCATATGTGTTTTAGATCCAGTCCTCGGCCAGTCAGCTGAAGTACGCTGGACCAGTGGATTGTGCACTGAGACTTTATAAGGAACAGGGAATTCGCAGTGTCTACAAGGGCACTGTTCTTACTCTAATCAGAGGTGTGTGTGTATATGTGTGTGATATTTTAAATAGGTGATATTGTGACATGTGTGACATGATATGTTCACTGACATGTAAACTAAAATTAATAGGTTGCCTTTATGGATGCATCTTTTTTTTTTTTTAGATGTGCCTTCAAATGGTGTATACTTTCTAACTTATGAATACTTAAAACAGTCTCTGACCCCGGAGGGAGAGTGGTGAGAGTCACTACTTTGTTATTCTAGCTATAAACACTATCAGGATTTAGAACTAATGTTCATTTAATTTCTTTCAAGTGTTCATCATCTCAGCACATCCAGAGTTCTTCTCGCAGGTGGGATTGCTGGCATGTTAAACTGGCTGATTGCTCTGCCTGCAGATGTGCTTAAGTCAAACTACCAAACAGGTACACCACACACACTGCTGAATGTGCCATTGTTTTTATGACTTATGTCATAATTATATGACTCATATGCCATAAAATGGCTGCACATTGTGTCCTAGAGGCACAAATAAAACTATAAAAAGAGAGCCAGTGAATTATGCTGGAGATTCACTAAACAGTTGCTCGTATTTTGTGTGTGGTATTTCACTGCAAAAGCCTGCATCATATTACAGGGTGTCTGCGGGGTCTTAAAAAGTATTACAAGTTGATAAATCAATTAAGAGAAAATTAAGGCCCTTAATAAGTATTAAAAAGTCTTAAATACCATTTTCCAAGGTATTACATTTTGTATCATCTTTTCATTATGTATATTTGTCCGAATAGTGGGGTTCTGTGTTGTTTGGAATTCCGCAAGATTTGACGTCATCTGTTACGGCGCTCACTGGCTGACTGCAGCGTGATGGCGCGGGGCTTGTTGATCTCGCTCTCGCTGAATTTCTGACCATTATCGCATGCTCCCATCCGCTCCTGCGATTTTTGTGTGCGCTCCCGCAAACATTCTAATGTATATTATTTTCGCGCATCAGGGCGCCACTATCAATATG